ACTGTATGTTCTGTTACAATAGATGTTCATATTAAATTTGGCCGGAGTCTCAAATAATGAGGTCAGGCTCAAAAATCTGTGGTTTTCTCCTACTGGATCAATATGATGTCATTTACAGCACATATCCCTAATATGGTCGCGTCAGGTACATAAGCTCCACCCGCTGTTCTAATCTTCTTGTTTATGACGAGCAGCCAATCAAAAGAATTCTGGTCTAAAAGGCAGCTGAAGGGTGTTGAAACAACTTATTTAAGACAGAGGATGAAGTAAGAGGATGCACCAAGGCACAGTATAAGATATATAAAGATTATTTCTAAATGAATCATGGAAAGCTACTCTAGTCGAGTCTAAGAATAAAGATATGGAACTGTTGAATGAGCTGGGAATTACAAGCCCCTTTCAAGTTCTTTAATTAAAACAAATAAAATAAGTCAAACAAGCTCTTTAAGCGTGATTGCACAACAATCAAAATGCACAGAAGAGTGGAACCACTACGAACTAGTGGAACCAATAACTCTGTGCAGACATTAGGGTTTCAACAATCCTGCCCACTCTACTATGGAAAGAATGAATGCTAACAGCTTTTTGTGGGACATCAAAGGTCTAGGAGGACCACTGGTACTGATATATCTCTGATGATGGAAGCCGTAGTATCATCAAGTTAGAGTGACTGTCATGTTTCAAACACTCTGTGCTATAAACACTTCAACAACACTGCGGAGGAACACAGTGATGTATTCCCAGTGGCATCCTCATCAAAGTCAATCATCAGACTGCAGTAACTACAAAACCACATCTCCAAGGCTCTTTCCAAACATCTCTATGTTGAATGGCATTGCTGTTTGATTAGATACAGGGGAGAGATCGGAATGAGTGCCCCCGCATATTGATCTACAAATACAATAACACAAAAACACAAAAAAATGTGTACTTGAGGCACTGATTCAGGGACACTTATTTTGTGGTTCCTCAATATTTTATTCTAAATACTTTTAGTTCTAAAAAACGCACATGTAACACACTATCCTCTCTTTCACCTGACTGCCTGTGCAAGGACTAAGTACCTCTGTTTTTTTAAAGGCCGCTTCACGCTAACATTGACTCCATGGGGAGCAAAGGCTCTCACGAGGACTAATGGAACAAAGCAACAACGTTTTTCCTTAGATATTATATAAAAGCTGTAGCAGGGGATCAGGTATAAGAGCAGTTTTGCAGGCAGCATTGCATAACTGATACAACTGTCTCGAATGAGTTAAAGGGTATGTATAACACTGTACACGTTTACAAGAAGTTACATTTCAAATGCTAGTATAACATGTATAAGTCAAAATCTTGTTTTTGGTAAACAAGATTTTTTTCTATATCCAACTTCCATCAATATCATGGGATATATCCTAGTTTTGAATATCATCAACAACAACAACAACAATCTTTATTTATAGAGCACATTTAAAAACCAGCGGTATACCAAAGTGCTTAACATAAGAGACAGAGAAGTAACACGAGTATTATAAGGCCTTAGCAAAGTATCAAATATACTCACAGGTCAATGCCACTAATACACAGGGGTAATATAAAATGCATATCAAAATAAAAACATAATAAAAGCACAAGCCATAAAAAATATGTATAAGAAAAAATAGAGTAAGTCTAAGAGTCAGGTGCGAGCATTAACAAGCAGGACAGGCGAGATTAAACAAATAGGTTTTTAACCGTGATTTAAAAGATTGGATAGAATCGGACGTCCGGATCACAATCGGAAGGTTATTCCACAACTCTGGTGCAGCCAGGGCAAACGCCCGGTCACCTCTAGACTTCAGCCGAGATCTAGGCTGCACCAAGAGTAACTGAGTAGATGATCTTAATGCTCTGGCAGGAACATACGATTTAAGGAGTTCCTTGAGGTGGCTCGGTGCTGTGTTGTTGGTCATTTTAAACGTAAGCAGCAGTATTTTAAATTGGATGCGGTATTTTATGAGTAGCCAATGCAGGTCAGCTAGAACAGGAGTGATACAGGCAAACTTCCCAGTTCTGGTCAGAATGCGTGCCGCAGCATTTTGGACTGTCTGCAGTCTATGAAGGAGGGCAGAAGGAAGACCAAAATAAAGTGAGTTGCAGTAATCCAGCCTTGAGGTCACAAAGGCGTGGATGAGCTTTTCCAGGTCCTTATGCAGAACATACTGCCTAGCCTTAGAGATGAGACGGAGTTGGTAGAAACTAGATCTGACTACAGCTGACACTTGTTTATCGAGTTTGAACGAGCTGTCAAGCAACACGCCCAGATTGCTAACAGTGTCAGAAAGGGAGCTGGTAAGGGAACCAAAGGCTTCACGAAGTTGGCCACGAGGAACGTTGCTGCCAAATACCACGATTTCAGTTTTCTTATCATTTAGGATAAGAGAGTTTGCTAGGAGCCATTCTTTGACCTCGCGCATGCACTCTTGGAAACAATGGAAGGACAAAGCAAGATCATCATTTAGTTCAAATGATAGCAGTGGAAAGCGGTGCGGTATTTCTCAAAGATTGCACTTAGAGGGAGCATATACAGTGAGAAAAGAATAGGGCCTAACACAGATCCTTGAGGCACACCACAGCAGACAGGTGCAGCGGAGGAAGAGCAAGTGCCCAGGTTGACAGAGAAGAACCTATTGGAGAGGTATGATTTAAACCAATCAAGGGCAACACCTTTAATGCCTACAGTATGCTCAAGCCTCGCTAATAAGATGTTGTGATCTACCATATCGAAGGCCGAGGATAAATCCAATAAAACTAGGACCGCAGAGCGTCCATTATCAGCAATTAGAAGCAATTATCAAGTACAAATTTAATGTATGAAATTGAAAGTAAGAATAAAATAGGAAGTACAGAATTTTGTTTCAGCCCTGTATACCATGAGGAACTCTGAAAATGTTAAAAATATGAAGGTTGAATTTCTCTCTATCCTCTAGCTTGAGGATCCTGTGCAGTATCTCAGCTGTTCTTAGGACTGCGCTCTTCTGAACAGAGATCTCTGGGAGTCCTAGTGCTCCGCTTCCCACTGGGACCACTGTTACCTTCACCCTCCACATCTTCTCAAGCTCTTCTCCGAGCCCTTGGTACTTCACGAGCTTCTTGTGTTCCTTCTTCATGATGTTGCTGTCATTCAGTATGGCTACATCTATCACTATGGCTGTCTTCTTCTGTTTGCCTAACACCGCTATGTCCGGTTGGTTAGCCATCCCCATTTTGTCCGTCTGTATCTTGAAGTCTCACATGATCTTAGCTCAATTATTCTCAACCACCCTAGGGGGCGTCTCCCATTTTGACCTCGGGAGATGTTTCTGTATACTATGCTGAACACTTGGTTATGGCGATCCATGTATGCCCTGCCTGCTAGCATCTTGCACCCTGTTGTTATGTGCTGGATTGTCTCAGGGGCATCTTTACACAGCCTGCACCTGGGGTCTTGCCAGGTGTGGTAGACCCCAGCTTCTATGGATCTTGTGCTCAGAGCTTGTTCCTGTGCTGGCATGATTAGTGCCTGTACTGTCTTTCAGTCCAGCTTTGTCCAGCCACTGGTAGGATTTCTGGATGTCAGCCACTTCCTCTAACTGTCGGTGGTACATACCGTGCAAGTTTTTTATCTTGTGGTATTATAGGTAATTTAAGGCTATAAAACTGATTATGATTCAGACAGATGATTGGCAACATGATGTTTTCTATGCTATCCATTCTTAACACCTTGGAACATGCTTTCTGGTGCAAATTACAGTTGAAAGTCCAAAATTACACCTTCCTTCTCCAATCTTCACACTCTGCAAATCCATCCAGAGGGCCAGACTCTACTCTTTGATGGGTTAGTTCAGACCTGCAGGCTGTATGTTCAACAAAGTTAACAGAACACTACTCCAGCAAGAAAATAACAATGGCGAACTGCATCTGTTTATTTATGATTTAAGAGCTCTCTTTGGCAGTCAGGAGCTGTGGTTATCCCCTTTTAACGTTAAAAGCCGCTCAAAATCTGAATGGCTCATTCAGAGACACATATTCTGATCTATGGAGAAAGCAAAGAAACTTTCTCATGACTTCTGGGCCTCTAGACACAGTGGGGACACTTAATTATGTTCAAGAACAATGAGAGTGGATTTTGCATAATACAGTTTGTCTCCTCTGAAACATCATTAGTATAATGTTTCCAGCATCGCTCTCTCATACACACACACACACACACACACACACACACACACACACACACACACACACACACACACACACACACACACACACACACTTCTGAGAAAAAAACAACCCAATCTTAAAGTCTGCTAAGTCATTTTCTCCACAGATACAAATAACTATTTATGATCAAGGAATAAACAGACGATGCACAAATAGTTTTATATGAAACGCCTCAGTCCTCATTATTTGCTCCCACTTGGATGTTTCTTTCTCACTTTCTGTTCTTCTCCCTTTTCACCCCTTTATTCCTACGCAGCCCTCATTGCACCCTCTACTTACTCAAACCAAACCACATCACTTGAACCTTCGTGTAATTAAAAAACATGACATGTGATTATGAAATCAGGCTCTCTAAGAGAGGACTGGCAAATGTTTGGATTGTAGCCAAGTTATACAAACCGTGACATATGTGATGAGTGTGGCGCGCAGATATGCTGAAAACAGTAAAAAAATAGTAAAAATAGGGTGTTATAAATGGGTCAGTGCTACACAGCTTCGCAGAGCATGATTAAGAAAGCACGGGGGGGGGGGGGGAGATATGTGGAAAGTGCGGAGGAGTCAAGTCTGCTTTGGAAATAGATAACAGACTTCATGAGGACTGAGTGTTTGTTAATGCTTTTTGCTTGTTGTTTTAAACTGAGTTACATGCACTCCTGGTTAGCCTGCAGTAACAGCTGACAGCCTGTCTCCTCTTTAATGACCCTACAGTCTCAATTTGTGTGGGTCTGAGTGTGTGTGCATGTTCCAGTCTTGTGTTTTGTGTGTGTATTTGTATTTCCTACCTTCAGTCTCTGAGGGTGCGGCGGCCTCAGGTGAGAGAGTGTCTTGGCCCCAGTCTCCTGTACTGTAGATCTGCACTACCAGGAGTCGCTTCAGTGAAACCAAGTCAGCATCTTTGAGCCCCATCTCCAGCTGATGAACAATGCTACGGCCTGGCTGGCTGGTCACCAGAGTAACCTGGGGAAGCAGCACAAATATTGCTCCCAGGAGCACAGACATAGACATTTCATTAGGTTTCCAATGTCAAGGGGCAAGCTGACCTCAATGCAACACAGTGCAAAAAAGTCATCAGGCTCAAAAAGAACTGAGAGGTGCCCTCTTAATGCTTCTTTAAACCACACTGCACAATATTCTGGCCACTACTTGTTTTATGCGCTGACTGATGAGAATGACATCCATGCCATTCACACTACTTCAACTCAAGTGTGCTGCAATTAATCTGTGATGTCTTGCGATGATGTAACCCATTCGCTGCTCTTCCACAACCACACTACACAAACACTATCACTTTTCATTAGCAAGCCACATTGATGTTCTTTGCCACAACTCTTTTCCAAAACCTTTCTGTATTTGAAGTGTTCCAGCTGGTTTTATGAAGGATTATATCAGAGTCACAGGACACAGCAACACCACAACAAAGCATTCTTTATGTCTGACAGTGCTGTGTCTGTTGGGAGTTTGGGGACATGACATGCAGTAAATTACAGTTACTAAAATGAACATATGATGTCACAACCACTAGATACAAAACAATGTCAGCCCAAAAGGAAAGTGGTACATGCATACTCAACTCTACATTTAAAGACACTCTAAAGGTGTATGACTGTATGTACTGTATCTCTAAGTTTTTGTTATGTGTTAAGCCTCTTAACACTCATTCAATCATATAAAGGCAACTAACTCAAGAGCTGAACCTGATAAACGACCTAAGAGATACAGCTGGTCCTTGTGTTATTCGATCTACAATTCACTGAAGCCTCATACGAACTAATTTCAGTGGAAGAGTGGCTGTCAAGAAGCCAATCCCAATTTAAGGAAGGGAAACAACTAGAAAAGACTTAGATATGCTAAATTACACATAAACTGGTTTGAAAATCAGAAGCAACAGCTGATAAATCCACATGTTTGGTTCAAACTATCGTCAATATTTCAGAAGAAGGATAATGATAGAATAGTGCCTACATTATAGGTAAAAACATACCTTGATGGAAAAACATAAAACTACTACTATGGACTACTATCAGTGATGGATTAGCATACACAGAGCCTGAACCTCAACATTATTGAGGTAGTGCCGGAAAGAACAGAACAAAAGTCAGCCAACATTAAAAGAAGACTTTTGAATGTCCTTTAAAAACCTTGGAAAAGTATTCCTGAAGACTACTTCAAGAAACTGCAATAACACTTGTCTGAGACAGTTCACACTGTGTTATAGAACAAAGATGGTCACATCACACACTGACTTTCAAGTTGTTAGAGTTGCATTTCTGTATCTCTATTTGCATGTTTCAGTAAACTACCTCGCATTTGTTTTACAAAAACACAAAGAAGTGAGGGCAGTTCAACATTTTTGCACAATACTGCACCTTGACAAAAAATATTTTAAAAACTGTCTCTTTGCAGAAATCCTGAGCTAGTCACTCATCTGAGTTTATTAATGGCTTTTCATTTGAAGATGATGTGAAGATTAATGGCTTCCCCTCTGAATGACCTGTAATGTTGGGTTCTGTATGGAACAAGGTTTGAGGGTCTTTGTGAGTAACTGGGTTACTCAAGATTTCTAGAGAGAGACATTACTGCTGAGATTTTCAAATGTATTTGAGCACCAAAGCAGATGCCTTCAGGTCCTGTTATATTCAAGGGAAGGCGGTATTCTACAGCAGATAAAACTGGAAAACACAACAAAACAATCTAAACAGATAAACAGCATCACAGCCCAAGAGGGAAAACATGTCAACTCGATTTGGGAGCGAGCTATCCCTTTAATTTATTTTTTTTCTCTAACTGAGCTCTCATTATCTGTAAATGAACAAAACTACTGGTAATACGTTTTAAAATGTTTTTACTCATCCGTTATCTTTTTAATAATGAAGATTTCGGCTGAACATTTGGACTAAAGACAGCAACTTAAAATAAGCAGAAAAATGTGATCATGGGAAGAGATGAAATTAGTTTTCTGTGTCATTTACATGCCTAATGGGGGAAAAAAGATAAAATAATGCTAGGCTGACATTTAGCATTCTACTGAATCACATTAACAGTAGCAGGAAATGATGATTGTATTTCGGTTATTGATGAGAGCTGCTCTCGGCTTCCGGCTGTTTAGAAAAAGTGGATGGAAACTGCTGCTCAAGGAGAACACATGCATGCATTAAGCGTCATGTATCTGAATGAAAACATGCATTGTATTGGTGGGCTAGCAAGGCACACACAGACACACATGCAAAGGGCCATGCTTCTGTTTTTTCCTTCACTGTCTCCTAACAGCGTTATTCATATCTCCTACCCTTGGAAGCAGTGGGTCTTAGTGCAATCATCTGTCCAGTGCCTCATAAAAAGCTGGCTGGAATTTACAAAATCTCGTCAACAACCTACAGCCTGGTGTCCAGAGGACACAATGTTCAGCAGCTACCACAGTTCTTACTGGCTGACTGCCGGCCTGACCCGTACATTTAACAAATTAGATGTTTTCAGTGAGCTGAAAGCATCTAATTTGTTAAAGTGAGAGTGAACACATGCCATAAACTATCACTTGGTGACACCAAAAATGTTTTCTGCGGTGCGTTATGAGCCTGCATGTTTTTGCATACCATTAGCAAAAAACATTACACAACATTAATAGAATTGAACGGATCTATGAACTTCAGCAGCAGATATGAGCTTTTAGTGAAACTTGTAATGTTACACTTAACTGTTCAATAATGAGTCAATACAACAGGATACAAGAGGATTTACTTTTTGAAACTGACTGCACGAAGCTCACTAAGGAAACTGGCTTCACTATTTCGTACACTGGCGTTAAGTACCTGATCCGATTTCCCCTTCAAATGGGGAAACACTGAAACTACTAAAGCTTTTTGCGATGTCCTCTTTCTACAGAGATGGTTAACAAGCAGATAAATAGTAGCTCTTTTGCTCCATTTCATATGTGGACAGGCTTATTTTAAGTGCACTGTTTCATATAAAACATGAAGAGCCATTAGCAGAGGGTTGTTAACAGAGACATGCTAATGAGATTGCCTTGTTCAGTCTGTTTTTTGCAGCTGCTTAATACACTGAATTGGAGCTCATTTAATAGGTATGAGTGGAACCTCTATCTTGAATATCCAAAGGGGATCTATTTAGCGTGAGCTGGTCTGCAGCTGAAAAGATTATCCTTGATAATGAAAATGAAGATAAAGTTAAAAAAAAAAGAAATCCAGTGACAACAACTGCAGAGAAAGAAAAATATGTAAATGAAAAAACATGAAAAACTGTGCCTATTATTCTCCTCACAGATCTAATTGACAGTTCAGGGGATGGAAAGAAGTAATTTACCTGCCGCAGGTAATGCTTCGGTTTCGATGGAAATTTCTCAATGTGTTCTCCTACTTAGAAAGCGCTGATGAATCTCATAAAGCTTTTATGATCAACATGCTCCCTGTGCCTCATAAGGGATGTAGCTCAGTGGTAGAGCGCATGCTTCGCATGTATGAGGTCCTGGGTTCAATCCCCAGCATCTCCACTTCTGTTGCCATTTAGAACTATTTAGACTCAGATTTCTGTGCTACAAAGTGGAATTTGAGGACAAGAAACACGATTATGGTTTAATGCTTTGTATTTACTGTAACAGTTACCAGGGTACTCTTATACCACAGATCTAACTGGCTCTCTAGCAGTGTGTGTTCAGTATAATCGATCAGCACTTACAAACCTACTAAGCAATTTTTTGAAAATAGTAACTGAAAGAGCCTGTTAACCTCTTTGTGCAGATAGTTAGAGGCTTTATATGTGTTTATTACTCCACTAACCATCAGCAAAGTTAAACAGGCTGTGTGTGACACCCTTTCTAAAAGCTGTTTGCCAACTGTAAATGAAAACCAAAGTTAAATTATTCACTAAAAGTTACAGAAGTGTGTACGGTGTTTGTGTCTTCTTTCACTATAAAGACAGAGCTTTCACACATGTGTGTTTCTTTGGAAGATGATCAGGATAGTTGCTCTCTGCTTTGTACTGTGGGGCTGATTCCTAAGTCAATGGTAAGAGTGGTCTCTGAGAGGAGCTCGCTACCCAGTCCCTGTGACTTGTACAAATGTGCAGTTTTACATAGAAATTCATTTCTTGCTGTGAAGTGTCGCTTCTCACCTCCACAGAGATGTTGCTGCCGGCCTGACTGCCAGCGCTGGTGTGTCTGATGTACTGTTTAAACTGCTGCAGACTGTCCAGCACTGCCTGTCGCAGCAGATCAGCTCCCGCGGCTGCTCCTCTGATACAACCTTCACTTGGAATAGACCTCAGCTCTTCAACACAGGAATGCAGCCTGGCGAAGTTACCACGAACTTGCTAAAATAACAAAAGTGACAGGGAATGAAAAATGGATAAAAATGGGAGATAATGTGGATGACAGAATGCAAAGCAGGAAAAGGGCTGATATTTATGTATGAAAGAAAAAGCAATTATAGGAGAGAAATAATGTGTTTTGCACTGCTTTCAGGAATATTACACTTTTATCCATCTTACCACAAGTGGCAATAGACATTCCCGCTGCCTGCTGACGGCATACAGGCTCAGTAGAGGTATCCTACAGGGCCCATCCAGACTAGAGGCCAGAGACAAGAAGTTGTCGAGAGCATCGCAAAGAACTGTGCGGGTCTCTGACCATCGGGGCGGCAGCGCCTCCACAATTAGGACCCTGGCTGGTTGCCGTGGGAACGACGAGGACCAGAAAACCAAACTTGGAGAGTTGGAAGAAGCTGCTGCCCTCTTTCTGCTCTCCATGATAGCCTGCAAACCACAAACACAATGCTGAAGGAACACATAAAGTACACAAAGACAACAAAAGAAAAATGTAAGGTCTCTTCCCCTGTAATGACAATCACCCTTAGGAATTAACAAGATTCATTAAATAAGTACATTATCTGCAGTCCTAATCATCAGTAGGGAAACTAGAACAGAACAAAATAAGCAGAATAAATGAGTTATGCTGCATATGAAAATATGTAGCGAGAAACTAGGTTATAAATCAGTCCATTCTTACATAACTCAGGGCTTTCCTTTAGATCTGAGGAGGATGGTGGGAAAAGAAGTAGTTGAACACTGAAAACATAAGAATATAATCTGAAATGATAACACAGCCAGCTCTGCTGCTCTCAAATGTTCACTTAATCAGAATCATGTTACTATGCTGGAATAAATCATAAATGAAAATATGTAAAACCAAAATGGACAAAATGGAGCATATAAAGAAGACTAAAGTAAGCAACGCTAATGTGTCGAATGCTCCAAATACTGATCAATTTTATCACTGCTGTTTTAAAGATATGATACCGGCAACATGTTTAATATTTTAGAACCTTTAAATTATCTGTTTTGCATAACCAGCAATCCAAAACGCAAAAAAGCCCCCCCATTATAATATGAAATGTAGTAATTGACAGCTGGGAAATGGGTCTTTGTGAGGGTGACTATGCACATAAGCACAATTCCATGCTTGAGAAAATAAAACCCACTTAAAAAAGGGACTACAACACATTTGAAAAATATCAGTACCTCATTTTTTCCTTTTGCATCCGCATTCGGGGAAAACCCCCAAACATATCCTTGCAATATTTCCTGTAGATTTCAGAGGGGTAGATGACTGAACAGTCTGAACATATATATTTTGTAAGAAGGGCCATCTGTGTGGCTGTCAAAAGGAAGCAATCAGTCATCCATCACACAGGATGTGCCCAAAGGGTTAAAGAGGGAAACCCCCTAATCTTTCTATAAACAGTTACTCCATCAGAAACCCGTCATTATGGAATATATATCTGCAGCATCGTTGTCTCCCTTTACTGACACACAGCTACTCAGCTGGTTGTTTAATTTCCACAGCTTGTTGAGTGCAGCTGATGGCATTTTGTTGTGTAGTTTACACATAAGGGACTGTGACGTGAATTTCATTTTAAGCAAATAACTGATTAAATTGCTGAATTAATTGCTGTTTGTCAAATATGAAGATTTGATCATTTTTTCAATTCATTGTAAACAGAATATCCTTTGGTATGGGACTGATTGTTATAGTAATTAAGCTTTGACTGGGATGTGCAAATTAGCACACTATTTGACTGATATGTTACAAAATGAAATTACTCTGAGACATAGGATAGATCATGTCTATGTAAAACACACTTAAAAACCTGAAATAGTAAAGGCAAGTCATAGGCCTGACTCAAGGCTAAAAACAGAAGCAAATACAACAGATTTAGAGCCATTACTAGAGAGCTTGGAGTGGACTTATCAGGGCAAAACCATTGACAGAAATAATCCCTCAAAGGCTGAGCTCCGAGCACTCTTTATCATCCCAGGTCTTTTAATCCTGTATCCCCAGGCCCTGCTCTATTGTTGTCTTCAATATAAAGGGCACATTGTGTAAATATGTGCATTGTTTGATTGTGTGCCCTTTTCATCTACCTCTGACTCAGTTCTCCTCTTCTAAGCCAAATTCTGTGCTTCCCACCACCCAGATCAAATATCTTTCACCTTCACACCTTGATCTTGCATCACCTCTAAGACTACTGTTCAAAGACAAATAAATGTAATCAGATTCAACCCAGTAGCTAAAAAAATGAATCCTTTTGCCACAGGGGTTTTGGGTTGGTTATTCACTGACCTAAAAAAATATTTCAGGCATTACTTAGTGGTGTGAATTTAACATCACACTACAGTGACACAAACACATCTCTTTTTGTGCAGCTTTAATAAGCCATGCAGTCCATACTGCCTGTGGTCATGTCTTTAATTAAATGATTTTGACACAAATAATAGGTGGCAAGAAACATTAATTTATTAGTATTTAAAAACTAAACACATGTAAATTAGATTATTCTTAGATTAGAAAGCTGTTATATTAATTTTAGCTAGGATTAGCAATTTATACCTTGCAAAGTTTAGCTAACATTACCTTGCTGAGTTTAAGTTCCAACTTCTCTCAAAATAGCTTCTGCTGGACGGTCTGTTATGTCAAGTAGACAGGTTAATAAAAGTATATAGAAAAGAGAAAACCAACAAACTTTTGCGATACAACATGCACAGGCTCTGCTTCTTATCAACAAAATAGCTAACCTAGACCTGAGAGTTAGTCGGTTAGCATGCTAACGTTAGCTAGCTAACAGTAGGCCTGTAACCTGAATCCAGAACAGCTTCAATACAAAAGGGCATAAATAACATAATAGAGACACAGCACCAATAATGTTACACTGGGAGTTAACTAAACTTACTTTGAAACAATTTCTAGTTTACTCTGCTAATTTATTAATGCTGAATAAAACTGACATATGTGGGGAATTTTGCAGGTATATAAAACTGATAATTCATTTTTAGAGAATTTCATCTACATTTTAATATTATTTGAATTAAACATCTGTAATAGATGGTAGAGAGTTGTTGTTTTTTTTTAAATTCAAGACAAACAGATTTTTATTAAGTTGCTGAGACGTTATTATTTTCAGTTGTTGTGTTAAATTTCTTTAATCTTAGTAAGCAGCAATTTCAATGTTTCATCTACCCAACTGATTGTTATTACTCCTTAAATACATTGTGGTATTATCTTCTCAGAACAACCACTTTGCGGTCTGCCTCTGACATCCTCTGTTGTATGGAAACTGGCCTTCAATTTGGAGATGTACTATGGCTCACTCCAAACGACGCTACAACTTGGTTTTGCAGAACAAATGCTTGAAGTTTCTCTGTGCACAAGCCCTATCCAGATCAGTCAAATATGGCATGCTTGTAGCAGGTACTGTTAATCAGGTACCAGTCAGGCACTTGATTGTTAGCTCCAGGGGTACCAGAAGCTCAAAACAAGAGTCAGTATCAGAATAACCTGTTTGGCATTGACAGAGAAGATTTGGCAAGTTTTTCACAGGCATCTTACATATGCAACTATGCAGCTCAACCCACAGTTGTATTTTTCTTACAAATGCAGTACCACTTAAGAGGACATAAACAGGCTTTCCAATGGTAAAAGATTTATATCAAAGAAGCATTGTTACAGAAATGAAATACACAACCAAATACAAATTTCCTTACCTGTTGAGCTAAGTTTATATTAAAGAATAAAAAAATCCCCATAACTTTTTTCGAAATGTTAATTCAAAAACCCCATTTGCATCTTGTTCTGCCCCGCTTCTGTGTTTATTTCTATTCATCATTTGTAGATGAATACAGAAAAAGATCAATGAGAGACAAAGTGCAGGGACAGAATAAAAGGCATGGAAATGTGTTCCTGATTGCTGGTTTGCTTGATTCAAGTGCTTTCTTGGACTTTGTGGCTGTTTATATGTGAGAGAGCCAGACGGTCCGAGCTGTAAAGGTGCAATCAAGATGTGCAGGGAGCTGCAGTCTTGGAAAATGGAATACAAGGTTTTTGATGAATGTGTGTGTATGCGTGGATGAAGGGGCTTTGTAAAGGGGTCTGCATAAAAGGCTTTGGTGAGAGCTCTGTCGTGAAATGAGAGCTGCTGCAATCGTGCACAGTCATACTCGCCGTCTCTCTCTCGCTCCCCGTCACTCTCTCTCAGGCACACACAAATGCTCCCAGTGAAACATGTCACTGCCAGGGTATATGAGTTTGTCATGAAGAAACTGGAACATGCACATCTGTTTAAGGGAGATAAGAGGTATGTGTGTTTTTTGGTGGAAAAAAGGAAAAAAATAAAATAAACTTAACTTCTGCCAACCCACTGCACCTGGCAAAACCATTTGGGGATAAATATGTAGCCGGTCCTGATTTGAAAACACACTCTGTCTTTCTGTGCGTATATCTATGTGTGTGTTTGCGTGTCAGCAGCTGATTAGGGCTTAATGTCACCCATTGGGCGGTGGCTTCTTGAAGGCACTGGCAGTTCTCCATCTTGCCTTTTTCTTTTTTGGCTAAACTTTTCATATCCCACGCACCTGCACCATCTTCCAGGGTTTTTTTTTCAGTCACTCTTTATACCTCCTGTCAACATCCCACTTGCCTGCCCTTGCTCAAAGCTCTATTTTTATCCTAAATGTATATGTTGTGCATCCTGTTGCAGGGACTTCACTGTGAGGAGCTTGACTGGGATGGATGTTGAGCAGTCAGTCTGAACTATGAGGGTCTGTGTAAAGGGATTAGGTGCACTGATATGATTGGAGCTTAATCAGTCTTACACAAAGAGCACACACACACACACACACACACACATGTGCACAAAATGCACACATGAATTTGCTTCCCAATTTTGTTGTGATGAACGCACACACTTCTAGGTCAATAGGAGCTTTGCACCAACATACTAATCCGCTGTGTCTTTTTGATTTACTCCTGGGGATCAGGCAAAGTTTGCCCGGTGGTTTTTAGCACTTTTCGTGCACACTAGTTGCTCTTTTCGCTCGTTTTTGCCCAGTTTTGAATTTCACTTCCGTCTTAGTTTTATTCACTGAGCAACTGAGGTTAAATGAACATTAAGTCGGTTCTGCTAAGTTGTTTGCTTCCTTGAGAGGTTTTAGTTAAATTCCCTAAGATGGGAACAAGAGCATGAAATTAGAAAATCCTCTACATCCTAGCAGTTTTGGCGGAAGGGGGTCAGATGGAAGCTGTTGACAGAAGCTATTTTCATAACTTAGGTTTTTAATTATCTGAAAAAAGGCACTGGGACAAATCACATTATTTTTGGAAACAGCTTAAATTATACCTGTTTTAGTTCCACACCCCTATCAATGTTTAGCCCATTTATATTATACTCTTCAAAATATGGCTGCATACATATATTTACGGAAGTATCAGTTTGCCTAGACTCAGATGAGGATATTTATATTTGTATGATGTCTGTGCACTAAATATAAAGCTAAAGTCAGCAGAGCATAAAGGCTTGTAGACTGTAAATAAAAGATGGATGTAGCCCTGTGGTATCATGCATTAGTGAAGTCTGAAGTGTTTTCAGATGTGAATTTAGATGTGATGAGCAATAGGTGGGTCTGACAGAGAATCCAAGGGATTCTGCCTTTTGTATTGTAATGTAATTTCTTTATGTAACATGCACTCGGGGGCTCCCTAGCTGCAAGCTCAGCCACAGTCTTTCTTCAATTATAGCTAGCTGAACCACTTCATCTACGTAGTGAAGTAAGTATATAAGCTAAAAATTAAATGTACGATATAAACACATTTAATTTGTAACCAAAAACTAAAAGGTGAAGATTGACAGACAGATTGCTGCAGTATCTACAGCAGAGGTTCCCAATCCCAGTCCTCGAGAGCTACCATCCTGCAGCTTTTAGATGCATCCTTGTTCCGACACACCTGAATCAAATGAATGGCTTGTTATCAGGCCTTTGCCAAACTTGATGGCACGCTGAAGAGGTAATCAAACCATTTGATTCAGCTGTGTTGGAGTAGGGATGCATCTTGCTCTCAAGGACTGGGATTGGGCACCCCTGATCTACAGTGATGCAGATGTTGTACTGGTCCGTCATGAAGTTTTTAACTTTTTCCTCGTTTTATTGGTCTATCTACATCCCTACCCTTATCGATGGCTATGAACTCTGGGTAATGATCGAAATATACATCTTGAGCTTTCTCTGAAGGGTTCCTGGGCTCAGCCTTAGAGATAGGGTGAGATGTTCAGTCATCCAGGTAGGACTCGAAATAGACCCGTTGACTCCTCCACATCCAAAGGAGCCAACTAAAGTGTTTCAGGCATTTGATTAGGCTTGCTTCCTAGGCACCTCCTGGGCAAGATGTTTCAGGCATGTTTTATCTTGAGCAGAGAGTGGTCTGTCGTGCAATAATTAACGTCTGCCAACAGGTGTGATTTGGATGACTAACAGCTGCATGTCATGTCAGGAGGAGAAAAATAGTTGCCCAAAACAATGATATCATCAAAAAGGGCACAGCCTTATTGGGTGAAAGAATGAATCAGGATGAAAACTGAAGAAGAAAAATGTGCACAGAATAATCATATAAGGTTGTATAATCCACCTTCTATACCTATTATATACTTATTGGATTATATTCCCTTTGGATTAAGCCAGGGAAGCCATTTTTGCACTCTACTTCTTCTTCTTCTTTCTTAAACAACTATATTTCAAAAACCCTCAGCCACCGCAATTATTACATTGAAAGATTTCAGTGTACAAATCAAAAGCATGCTTCAGCATGTTATGCTTTGCATTAAAGAAAAACAAGTAATCAGGAACTGTGAAATCTGCTTGTTTATATTATTAGAACAGCATATCGATCATGCATCCTTGATTGCACAAGACAGACTTCCACTGAACTACTGCAGGTATTTTCTTGTAGACTCAGGCGATATAATCTCACAGTGGGACTTCACAGATTTGATTTTGTTTTGTTGAAACTAGATTGTCTTCCTCGAGGGCACGAAAGACATGAGAGGGAGGTAATCATAATTCTGAAGGATTTCGTCAGAATATTTCCTGAGAATATAAAGACGTGCGCTCAAATGCACGGCAGGGTCGCGTGGGATGCCATTTACAGTAAGAGCAACAAAATGCTACCTGACATGTAGAGCACATGTGTGTAAACGTGTGAGTATGGAAGCATAATTGTGGAAGGAATTTACATAAAGCACCTACAGCCATTTGCCCTCAGAAGAAACTGGGACTGACTTGCAAAAGAATAGCATTCTTACATTAACGTTAACTCAGGATGACGGTATTCCCTCTGTAAGTCTTTCAGGTCATAAAATATATCATATATCAGAAAGAAAGAAATATATCACTGGGCGTTTTGAGGGAATCATTAATATACCAATCTCCTGCTTTTTCTCAGAAGTACCACTAAGGACAAGTCAAGCTGCTCTTTTATTTGCATGAGTACTGTTTTGGAGCCAATCCAGTCCTATTGTTACTTGACAAGCATTATTGGAATTGCTGTTCTGGTATATGTGTGTGTGCGTGCTTGGAGCTTAGAGATGGTAAGCTTTAATTCTTTGAGCATTTGCACTAATCTCAGTGGGAAAGCAAGTTCATTTGGTATCCTTCTTGGCCGTGTGTGGAGCACAAAGCCAGAGCTGCTTACTGTGTGTGTGTTTTTGTAACTGTGGTTAGCGCTGACTGTATATGGTCTCTGGATAAGCTAAAGTGGTGCATAACTACCTGGATGGGA